ATACGCAACATGATTGTCTATTCATTGAATTTATTTTTAAGGAAAAGAAGTGCCAAAGAGGAAACATTCAATTCAGATCAACTTATTCGACATAGTGGGCCAGGTGGTTAGGGCGGTCGACTCGCAATCCCCGTCACACCCAGTATCCTCGCCCTTTCAACCGTGGGGCCTTATAATGTAACGATCAATCCAACTATTCGTTGGTAAAAGAGTAGCCCAAGAGTTGGCAGTAGGTGGTGATGACTAGCTGCCTTCTCTCTAGAGAAGGCAGCTAGTCATCACTGTTAGTCTTAGTCTTACAGTCACAACTAGTCTTACACTGTTAAATTAAGGACGAATAGCGCAGATAGCCCTCGTGTAGCTTTGCGCGAAATTCAAAATAATGGGCACAGTGCAACAAAATTATACGTGTCTATAATTCCAACAACAAATGAATACTCAAGCACATACCTCTCTTTATGCGTTTTTACCCTTTCATGCTCCTATCTTCGAAATATTTATTTCAATCAGTCGACAGAAGAAGTCCCGTTTTTTCCCCTAAAATTCCATCGCAAAAAGAAACATTTGTGTTCTTAATAAGTTTATCTTAGATAGACCACTCAGCACATACGAAGACTGGCGGAGCGAAGGTGATATCGATACGAAATTTCAGGATTTGTAAAAAATTGATAACTTTCCTATCATGTATTCTTGAAAATATTCATCGTTTAGGAGATACTAGGCGTGGCATACAAAAAATTGGCTGTTAAATCAATTACAATGAAACTTATGGAAACAAATTTGGTATGCTTCGCGAGAGTTTTACAAAAATGTAGCTCCTGGAGAAAATGGACAAACGTAATGTTGAATTAAGTACCATTGTTTCTAAAGCTAGTAGTCGTTTTTAAATAAAAAACTTTAAATTTACAAGTATGTACAAACATATAAACGTTACTCTCAATATTTGCATAGTCATGCTTTAAATAAGAAAAATAAAACGTAAAAGAAATACTATAATATAAGCGCTTTCGAAATGTGTACCGTTTTTTCATCAGGGGCGAACTGGTAATGACTTTGTAAAAGGAAGTATGAGAAAGGTGGAGTGACGTCATAGTAGACCACAATGACAACCCGTGTTTTGATGAGCTTTCAAAGGATTGCTCTAGGTGTGACTCATTTCCCTTGTATAATACGACAGGAAACAAGATTGTTAGATGTAAAGAAGCTAGAAAGGTTTTGTTTATCAAAACATATTGTTACGTCTCCAGTCGTTAATTGATTTTCCGTAACTTCGTTCCGACGAAACTTTAGCGACACAAGTCCTTTCTTAATAAAACTGGTTT